ACACAATATCAGAAATCAATAATATTAATAATTTTCTTAACATTATTTAATTAGTTTATTCCAGAATTTAATAATATAATAGTATGTAACGGACAGCTGTAGAGAAAGGGTTAAGCATAGTATGATATGCAAAAGCTATACTTCTCACAGACCGCCTTCGATCAATCTGTGTTATAGATAGGACACTATGGTGTCCCATAGATCTCCACTAACGTCGAAAATCATTGATCTTGATGATAATAATAATAATTACATCTAAATTGCATATTACTTGCCCACACACAAATTCGCGTGCGCATGCGCTGGAGACGATCCTGCCCAATGCTTTATTGCATTATATGCTGACAGATAAGCATATATGTGGGAGAATAATATTTCACGCATCGGACGTACGTCGATCCGAGTCGCGTTAGAGGCGAGTCGACGATTTGTGTTAGTCCGACTATGTGTGTATTGTTAATTTATGTGTGTATTATTATTATTCGATGAGGTCAGTAATATTTTGAAGAGCGATGCTTCTGACCACGATGACGATCTCGTTTTAAGAGAGAACGTCCGCGACCGTTGACGAGAGAACAACTCTGATCTTCCGTATCTTATATTCTTTTTACTTTAATAAATTTACTGGTTTTACATAAAATAAATTGGTCAATAACCAACCAAAGAAAATCCTACATATATGCAGGTATCAAGCCATGCAACTAGAAATAATTAAGCTCAACGAAGAGTATTTTCAATGTAGATCAACTCAAAAATTTATAAGCACTGTATAACTTGTGCCCAAAAGACACCAGGCAACATAACCTTACTTTATCAAGTGAGTGACTTATTATCAAAGAAATTGATCAAAAAATAATCAGATGTAATAAAAACTTCACCAATTTGAGCATAAGGCAGTACGCTGAACACGATTATGTCCTTATTTTCATCCATAGGAGCCCCAGACAGTCCAGAATAAGTAACTCACAGTGGAGCTGCACAGAGACACGTCCGTCTTGCTCGGTGGTCACACGAGACTCCTTTTTTTTTTTTTTTTTTTTTGGTCGGGAGGGGCAAGCCCCTCCCCGGGGGTGGGGAATCTTCCAAAAGACACCCTCTGGTGTGCAATGTGGATTTCTAGAAACCCACTGCCAAAGGGTAGTGTTGGATTCGTCTGGGGGCGTGGTTTGCGACACCACATACACCCCCAGACGCCTACCAACTAAACCCCACCTCCGTAACGTTGCAGCCCTCTGCCGTTTTGGGGAGATGGCCGGGAATCGCTTACGCATTACTTCCAGCTACCCCTCCGGCTGCCGGTTGCCCGGTGCCTCACTAAAGGTGAGGAGAACTATGTTCTCCCCCCATCCTTGAGTACGCTTCCCCGATCAGGGCCTAGGCCCCGCGATCCACCAAACCGCGGACGAGACGGCAGCAAACACCCACATCAATCAGTGTGGGTGCCGCTGGACGACTCGCCCGCAGAGGATCCTCTCTCCCTCTTTCTGCTCCTCGGCTCCGGTTTGCCCGGTGGCAGCCTCGGAGCAGCGAGGACCCGCACCTTGGGGGGCTTTTGTAGAGGACTTATTTCCTCCCCCCCCACCCCCTTTGGTCGCTTTTCAGCTGGGGTTCGGGAGGCCTTAATTGACCCCTCCAAACTTAGGTCTCTTCTTGAGCTGGCCCTACTGGGACCAGCCTCCGGGGACTTCTTCCTCCGCCTCCTTTCCCTATCCTCCAGAAACGACAGGGCCCACACCGACTGCTGCGGCGACCCCACCGCTCCCAGGAGGGGGGAACCAAACCTCCCTTCTTTGGAGGGGCGCGAGACGCAGGGGGGATCGGAGGACATTTCTCCGATCCCGCCCTGTGATCCGCCTTCTTTCCGGCGATGGTACACAGGGGGCAGCGAGTAGGACGCTCACACGTTGCCCCTTTGTGTCCCTCTTCGCCACACTGGAAACAGCAGAGGGCCCTATCTACTTTAAATGGATACCTCTGCTGTGTATGTCCGCGCGCCAGGCAGCGGAAGCAGCGGGCCGGCCTGTTCGTCATCAGCTCGACCCGTACGGAAAAGGACCACCCAATGGCGATCCTCCCCGCTTCCGCTACCTTGACTACGGCCCTAGCAGGGCCCTGTGCCCATACCGTGCGCTTACCCCTAATAGGCAAGCGCAACGGTCCCACTCGGATCTCCGATTCGGAGCATCCGCCCTTGGCAGCAATTGCCCGGCGGATCTCCTCCTCGGAGACCGTCTCCTCCACGCCTCTCAAACGAAGGTCGAGACGTTTCGTGGGTCGTGACCCTAACCCCCTCGAGATTATGCTTTTGGAAAGCAATTTGGATAGCGGAGGTCAGGCGACATGCCTTAGCCTCCGCATCCTGCCCTCCGCCTGGTATCTCGATCAGTATCCCTTCATTGAAAGATCTCTTGGCGTCGACCTTGTCAACCCCAAGCTCATCCAACACAATCTCCCGCCTCGCTACGACCAGTGCCTCGGACAGGTTACCCTGTCCGGTAATTAGCACTGCCGCCGAGCGCGGGAGCCTCCTCCTCGCCGCCTTGACCGGGTTCCCCTTGGGTCGTGCCTTACCAGGGGCCTCCTTGATGGACTCGGCCGGGCTCGAATTGCAGGAGTGGGGAGGCTAGGCCCCGTCCCCTTCTTCGCAGCCCTCCCCTTCCTATTGTTGCGCCGAACAACGGTGGTCCACTCACTGGGATTTTTTGTTGCCGGCGCATCATCCCCGTCCAGGGGAGGACCGGGGGAATTGGCGGGAGACCCCGTCGAGGGTTGGGGAAAAGCGCCTCCAATCCCACGAAGGACCGCCTCCCTCTCCCGGTCTTCCTCCTTCTTTTCTTTTCCTCCCCCCCCCCCGCCTTGAGCAACCTTTCTAGTGGGAGGTGCCCGAGAGCGGGGAGAGGCAGGGGCCGGGGGAGGAGTAGGCCCAGCCGCTCTCTCCTCGAGGCCCCTCAGCCTTTCGCCAAACCTTTCAAGGGTTTTGGCGATTCCCGCTAGGCTTGCCGCTAGACTTGGGTCACCTGGCAGGTGGGGAAGGAGGGGACCCCCTTCACTCCTCTCCACTTCCACAGCAGTCCCCCCAGAACCGTCCGTGCTAGGGGAGGTACCCTCTTCCGTAGGCGAGGCGGGTCTCTTGCCGGCCCTGATGTTGACAAGCTCCGCCTGTTGCTTCCGGGTCCTGCGTTGGAGACGGCCATTCTCAGCCTTGAGGGACCCCATATCCCTTTCCAACGCCAGGACCCTCTCCCTCCAGTAGCCCGGGTCTCCGCCCTCAGAGGCCCTAGCGGCCAGGGTCCGAACGACCTCTCTGAGGACGTAGACACCGAGCTTGAGCTTGCCGCTCAGCTCCCCTTTCAAATTTGCGGCTCTCTGCCGCACCTCCTCGATGGAGAGGAGCCCCTGATCGATGCTTCTCAGCATTTCGTCAGTCGTGCCCCTCTCCATCCTCCTAATCTCTTCTTCCGCCCTCTTTTTCTGCGGCCGGTGAAGCTGGGCGGCACCACCTCCGCAAAAGGGTTGCCCCCCGCGGACGGTTCCCCCACCCGAATTCGCGGCCGCACCCTCCGACGCACTTCCTGTCGCAGAGGTGCGCATCTCTCTTTCCCCATCGTCGGAGTCAGACTCCAACGCCGCCAAAGGAGGGGCGGGTTTAAACGGACCAAATCCGTCCTTTCGCGGCCTCCCCTGGCCTCTTCTCAGTGAGAGGAGCCGTCCGCCAGCAATCCTCGCTGTAGTGCGTGGCCGGACGGCATCCGTCCCCGGCGAAGGTCTGTGGGTCCTTCTATTGGGGGATTCCCCAGGTTCCCCCTCCATCAACTCTTGCATAGGGAGGCCTTCCACCGCGGGAGAAGCTCTCCTCTCCCCCTCCTTCTCCGAGGAAACAGGGTGGGGCTCCGGTGACTCGCCTCCATCCCCCTAAGGGTAAGAGGAAGGAATAACTCCCCGCACCTCTCCACGGAGTCGACTAATTCACCATCGATGACCAATTCCACCGCGAGGCTCGACGTCAACCTCGCGGCTAGCCCTACATCGGATGACGACGCGGCGGAGGCAGGGACGATACCCTCATCCGCGCCGGCAGCTGAGCACCCGAATCTCTGCTGCGGTAACTTCTCCATATTTTCCGACATTTCGGTTCATTTTTTGTAATTTGTTGACAGAGTTTTCTTCTCCGAATTTTTTATCGTGATTTTCCTTCCACTAGGGCGGTTGTCGACCAAGATTAACGAGCCCGCCCTGCCCGGATCTTTTTATAGAGGTTGTATCACTCTTGCAGCCCGTGCAAGCGCAATGCTTGCACCGGCTCCCGGCCCCAGACTTGGGGTTACTGTGTGAGTCTCCACGCCCCCCCTCATGCAATGGGAGGCCCAGCCGTTAAGCCGGAACACCGGCGTACTAACGAGACTGGCCAGGTCCCGGATTTTTTCTCGAGGTTTACTCCTCTATCCCGGAGGTGTGTTTTCCAAAACACACCTATCGAGTCCGGGCACCCGGGGGTTTGGAATCAGAGTCTCCTACCAGCGATTGGGATAGTACCCTCACAAAGTCGCTGGACTCCGCACGGCCCCTCCAAACGAGGGAACCGTGAACCTACCGGGGGTGGGGGAGTGAGAGAGGCCGCTATCTCTCCAACCCCCCCCAACCCTACTTTGGCGCTCCAATAGCGTCCGGGCGCGGGGGGCGTGGCCCGGCTCGGCCACCCCATCCCCCTCGGCCCCTTCTTCTCCTCGCCAGGGCAGAGGTTGATCCCCTCTCGCTCCGCCTCCTCCTCTTGGCCTCCTTCTTTCGAGACATGACCGTCTCACAGAAGGAGGAGACCGTCTCCCAAGCCCCCTCCCCCTCCAACATTCCCTTAACCAGGGAAGGGAGGGAGAGGTCTTCGCCAACCACTTCAACCAGGACTCGACGCTCCCAGCCCACGCCGAGCAGACTTCGAGCGTGTGCTGCGCCGAGTCCCGGCTGACCGCACAGTGGTGGCACCGCGTGGTGTGCTCCTTACCGATTCAGCACAGGTAGTCAACAAAGCAACCATGCCCGGTAAAAACCTGCGCCATTCGGAAGGAAATGCCTCCTCCCCTCCTGTCTACCCACTCCAGTAGACAGGGCTGGATGGCCCCGACGGTCCATAATCCAGGTAAACCCGGAGCGTTGTGTTCGCCCAGTCTGTGTTCCCACTTCCTGAGCGCCCACATCCGGACCCTGGCCTTCTCTTTCGCCACTTCTCTGGGGATGTTCTCGGGGGAGATGCCGCTCCGTTCGACCTCTATCGCGCACCGATACGACTCGGCACGTGATTCAGCGACCAGGTCGAACGGGAGCACCCTCGCCAGGGTCGTGGCCGCCACGTACCACACCGTCCGGTAACACCGGGCGACTCTGATGGCCATGCGCCTGTTTGCCCTTTTAACAAGGGACATGGCGCGTCTATTGGCCATCAGGTCCTCTGCCCAAAATGGTGCCCCGTAAAGGGGCTTCCTCCATCGGCCTAATCACCGCTGTCTCTCGGGCAGGCGTGCTGGTCAAAGCCACGCCCAATGTTTCCCCCTCCTCTTTGACCGCTTCAGCGGGAACGGGCGCGGGTTCCGAGGCCGCGCTCTTCAGTTTCGCCTTCTCCTCCGCCACCCCTGCAGGGTTGGGCACGAGGGCCCGTGCCGCGCCCAATGACCCCGTCTCTTCCTCTTCCCTTTTCTGGGACAGGAGTGGGTGTGGGTGCCAAGGCCACATCCAATTGTCCTGCTTTTTTCACCTCCATCCTGGTGGGAGTGACAGGAACGGTCGCGGGGGCCAAGGCCGCGCCCGTCCTCTCCTCCTTCTTCCTCGTCTTTTTCCCTTTGGACCCAGGCGGCCCGGGTGCGGTCACTGGGACCGGTGCCACGCCCACAGTGGCACTTCTTCCCACTCTTCCCCAGTTCTTAGGGGCCTTACAGGCAGGGCCCCCCACTCTATGCGTGTGGGAACCCCTTATCCCTGCATACAGGGCAGCTCACGGGGTCCTTGCAGTCCCTAGCGTCGTGTCCCGTAGAGCCGCACCTGTAGCAGGCATTGCTCCTGTCTGACGGGTTCTTGCAGTTGATCCGCACGTGGCCCGTCTCCATACATTTGTAGAACTGCAAAGGTCTCTCATCTAACAGGGATACCCTTGCATTGCTCCACCCCACCTTGATGCTGCCCCCCTCCGCGACCTTGATTGCAGCGTTGAGGGGGCACCGCACCTAAGTCACCCCCTTTCCATTTCTCATTGGGGAAGGCCGGACAGGTCCAACTTTAACCAGTGTTGGGGGACATCCCCCCACCTTGACCACGGCATCAGCGACCTCGCTTGGCTCGATTGATTCCATGAGGCCGCTGATCCGCAACTCCCCCGTCTTGGAGGGTCTGACCACCCTCACACCTTCCCTTTTCTGAAATGCTTTCCTTAGGGCCTCAGCCAGGGCATCAGCCTTCTTCTCGCTATCTAGGCCCGGTATTTCCAGGCGGGTGGCTCCCGTCCTGGCTGTCTTGGACTTCAGATGCTCGATCCCAAAATCGTTGAGGCTGATTCTGCCCCTCGCCTCCCTCATGATCCGGGTGTAGTCCCCCAGCGAGCACGTGACGATGATCACCGCCATGCTGGGGGGCCTCCGGATCTTTTGAGTCTTCGTGGGGGCGGTTTGAGCCGGGCCCTTCCTCTCCTGTTGTCCTCCACTGAGTTTCATTTGGGCCGCCTGGGCCATCCTCGCCTTTTTTCCCCTCCCCACCACCACAGCGTAGTTTTGGTCGGCAGGTAGAGGAACTGGTACCCTCTTCTGTTCTTGCTGCTGCCGCTGCTGCTGCTGCTGTTGTCCCTGCCGTTGCCGCTGTATGGGGGGGGGGGTTCTCCCCTCCTGTGCAGCCGGTGGCTCCGCCAGGGTCGCGGCCAGTCCTCCCCCATCCCGACGCGGACGTGGGGTTCCTTCAGAAGGGGCGGTGGAGGGAGGGAGAACGGCCTCGGCCTTTTTCCTTCTCTTGCCCCTCCCCCACCCCTCCTTCGGGGAACTCTTTCCCCGCTGTTGTGGCCGGGGGTGGGACATATCCCAGTTCAGCTAGCACTGCCGGTAACACCTCTTCCAATGCCGTCATTATTCTCCGGATCTCCTCCCTCCCAATAGAGGGAGAAAAAGGAGGGGGAGGGACATTTTCTCTCTCCCTCTTACGTTGTCCCGCCGTTTGATGCCGCTCGGTCTGTCGGAGGGACCCTTTTTTCCCTCCCGTCTCATCCATCTTCCCCATCAAACCCAACGCTGGGCTGATAGGGAGCTGATCAATCGTCGAGGCAGGGATGGATGGAGGAGGGACTGCTGCTCTCCTCTTTTTCAGTTCCTCCATCTCTTCCCTTAGCCTCCGATTCTTCGTTCGGAGTTTCTCTATTTTGTCCTGCATTTCCCTCTGCTTCTCAGGAGGAGGTCCCTCTCGTGGGTAATAACATCCTTCCTCCTGAGTTTTTTGGGCCTTACGTCGTCGTCTTCGACGGCCCCCCTTCTTTCACTTGTAGACGTTGTCCCTTTGGGTAATCCCATCACCTGTCCCTTTGGTGTACTGAAAAGGGGCTCCCCATCCTTGAATTCACTCAAGGAGGAGATCACCCCTTTCGCCTTCCTTTTCACTCTGGCGGGGGAGGCATCTCCGCCGACCCTATCCGCCCTGGCGTCTTTCTGCAGCCGACCAACTGTGGTTTTGTTGACCACTGTGTCTCGGCCGGCTACTTCATCCCTTCTCTCACTCATCTCCATCCGTGTCCTTGCGGCGACCTCCTGTATTGCCATGTTGTCATCATCGTTTTGTCCGTCTTTTGTGTTTTTGTTTTTTGTATTTGTATTTATTCCCATATTTGTCCCACGAAATTGGTAGGAAATACAGGTCCTTCCCGGCAGAGCCTCCTTACCGGGATAAGGCGACTAAAATACTGTGGGGTTGCGCCAGGTACCCCACAGGGATCGTTTGCGACCGCACATTTTTAGAGTTTCTGCGGCCATTCAGCCCTCGGCACGATGCCTTCCACCTTGGCTTGAGACTTCCGCGCTATTGTCCCGAACCCGACACACCAATCGGCGCGCACGCCTTACGGGCCCCCAAAAGAAACTGGCCCACTCGGCGCACGCCACCGACCGGCCAGCGGGGAGACCCGCCTCGCCACCCGCCCGCATGAGGCCCGACATGCGGCGGATCACGAGCAACGGCATACCCCGAAAGCGTGCTCCCGGGAATGAATGCGGATTCCCCCGGGGAACACGTCCCGACGCAGCCGCCGCCCCCTCACCACCCACATGCCAGCCCGCGGAAACGGATCACAGGTCCCCACCCGGGCGGGCGTAAATGAGGTGAGTTGTGTGTGAGTGTGTAAATGAGGCGTGTGTGTATGGATAATGTGTGAATGTGTGTGTGTATGCAGTACGGAAAATAGCACCCTACGCATCACCACGATGCGCGGGAGCCCCCCGCCAAATGCATGCATGGCCCCCGACTTCCGAGCTGCTTCACTACAGCGAAGGCGCCCAGAGAGTACGGGGCCAAGAATGTGTGTGTATGATCGTGTGTGTGTATGGTCGCGCGAGCACGGGGAAGGACGACCCCCGGCCGAATGCGACGAGCCCGGGTACAACCGGGGAGGAGAGCAGCGCACCTCCTCTCCACCAATCCTGTGATTTATTCTCGGAGTTTCCTTCTCTTAGGCCGACTG